ACACTTCTGACTGAAATTAGAATACCTTAGGGACTTGATTATAATTAGAAGTATATGTTGTGTTATGTTATGTTATGTTTTCCATACTCTTAATAACTAGAATTGTGTTTTTCTGATCCTAGGCGACCTTTACAAATACTTTTTCAAGTGGAAATCTCTTGTCGTTTTGTACCTCTCAACCGCAAAACCTTCGGCTGTCTTTAATTTCGCAATTAAATGCTTAACTTTTATAGTTCCCGTTAAGCCAACTACCGAACCGGCTACTGTATGCTGGCCACAGAAATGTGCATTCCGTATTGTTTATTGTTTTTTTCTGTTCTGCCTTTTGTTTTATGTTCCTTATTTTCTGTGCTCTGTTTATTGTGCGTTGTCCGTGAATGGCCTATTCCTATCGCTTTCGCAGCCCCAAAAGTGGGTGGCTATCAGTAACTGGCTGCGGCTAAGCCAGCTTGTCAATTTTGTATAAAATTTATTATTTTATTTGCGTCAGGTTTTCGTTTTTGTTTTGCCCCCGCCAGTGCCACTTTTCAGACTTTCTGCCTGCTGCGAAAATTATTTACATTTTGCCGATTGCGCCAGTTTTTGCATTGCCATTGCTGGGAGGTTGGCCTGTCGTAAAGCGAACTGTTTGCCCTCGCCCGAGTACTCGAAAACGTACGACTGTTTGGGTTTATATACATATATTTCTATATATGTGTATATCTTTACACATTGTGCTGGAGAGGGCCATAAAACTTGCATGGCACTGCAACAGCCGCAGTAACAGCCAGAAATGTTTGCTCAATTTACGATCGCGGCGGCTGACGGAGCTGCCAACTGTTGCATGTGGCCCCAAAGTGGCCAGGGTCATTGGATTTCCGATCCGAAGATCGAACATAATAATCTTCCCTGCTTGAGAGTTCCATTTAGCCGGAATACAAATCAAATTTGGCAGCTGATTGTCCGCGGGGTGATCAGTTGACTCACAGTCATATGATGATGTCCCATGGCGATGACAGCCGCCGGACACTTTGTTGACAGGTCTTGCTAAAACAATAAAAAAAATTGAAAATATATACAAGTGTACAGCAAAAATCACAAAAAAGAAATATATGTATATATTTATATAGGCGATGATAGAGAACAGGAGCGGGGCCTTGAGGGGCATGCCCAGGGAACCCAACTTGACAACGCTGCGTATGAGTAATGCAAAAGCACCGAACCACGAACCGAATTCCAAATGGCTGGCAAAAATTCAACTCAACAGCAAATGAAGCAACAAAATTCAGCAGCAGCAGCCGCAGATTAAGAACCTTTTAAGGGGATTAATGATTTTAATTTTTTCCGTGCATTCTGTTTGCCTCGTTTCTGTTTTTCTGGCAGCAGCCTTCCAACGGAGCGTATAAACTTGCTGATTGACTTTGGCCAAAGGGTAGGAAAATGGAACAGAAAAAGATGTATCAATAAAGTAAAGAGGAATAAATTAAAAAGTTAGAAAAATTTAATACTTGTAAGCAAATATTATAAGTTATTTGCTTAAAATATCAATATACTACTAAATACTATACTTACTTATAATCCAACTTTAAAGTAAATGTGAGCGTGTTTTACAAGTTAAAAGGTATACAAGACTGTTCAGTTAATACTTCCCTTTATATAGAGCACGTTAGAGTATTTCCCATTCGTTAATCGTTGTGCCGAAAAGATTTCTTTCATTTTTTCTGTCACTCCATGGACTTGCTGCTGGTCCCCCCTTGCTGGCACATTTGTTTGCTTTGCCATTGCCGTTGCCACTGCCGTTTGGCCTGGCTAAATGGCCATGCCTGGCAAGGACATGCATGCCGCTCACTTCCGTTTCCGCTCCTTCTCTCTCCTACGTCACCGGATTTTCGGTTTGTTTGTTGCGCGCATTAAGCTAATTATGGCCAAATAAAGTGAGACGAAACGGGACGCGCGCGCCGAGCAAATAAGAGAGTCTGCACAGAGAGGCTACTTCCTCTAACCAGGATCCTATGGCCCGCACTTAACTTTCACTGCCTCCCTGCCCTCTCAGCTGCGGTCGGGGTTTTTTGATTGTTTTTCAATTTTCTGCATTGTTAAACTTTTGCTTCCCATGTTGCGCCTTGTTTAATTTGCCGCCTGCGGCACGTGACAAGTGCACCAGCCAGCGCCACCCGGCACGTGTCCTTGCCGAATGAATCCCGAGCCGAGGAGGAGCAGCAGTTCCAGCTGTAGCCTTTGGCAAATATTTTGCCAGTGCCTCAACCAAATCAATTCTGTATGCTCGTCCAAATGGAATACGAATGAGTGTTCGACGGTGTCCTTGCACCACCAGTGACCAGCTTCCAGGACTCCTCCCCCTTTCTGCTGGTCACGTGTCGCAGCAGCAGCAACAGCAGTCGCGCCTCCTTCGCTTTGTCTGCTAATCTATCACAAGCGCTGGCACCAAACCAAATTGAGTTTGTTTGGATATCATTTCCATTGACCAGGACACGAACTCGCAATCCGAATGGGAGGGGAAAAAGGAAAAAAGGAGCAGCAAACGGATCCGGATGCTACCTGCCAGAGCAGCGGATAGAGTCTTTTGCCACTTGTGGCCTGTGCAGAAACTGTTTCTTTGTCGGCACTGAAAGAAAAACATTATACACAATACAAAGTAATAAAATCTAACGAAATTTCCACTGTATACTAAATATTAATTAAACTGTTATATTTAAGCTGTAAAATAATGCATTAATTAGTGAACAAGAATAATATAAAATATATTAGTATATTTTATAAATTTAAGTATTTAGAATGGTTCTCACATTTTATATTAATTGTATTACCTTATAACTCCCTTATTAACAATCTATAAGATGACCATCTTTAATCTTATAAATCATAAATTAACTGAAAGTATTTACCCCCAAAAAAGTATATTTTTTAAATATTTGTTTTGTATTTTTTCACAGTGTCCTTGCCCTGGTTTTCCCACAATTTCCGGGCGCGATGACGTCAATCAAATTAGACGCATCCCAGAACGTCCCAGCGCCGGCCAAAGTTCACACATCAAATTATGTCAGGGGTGAGTTTTCCTGCCACTGTGCCCCCGTTCCTGGTTCTTGCCACCCCTCGGATAACGTCCTTGCTAACTTGCGATTTGCGTCTGTAAATGTTATCCTAATCAGATTTGTGTGCTATCCGCGAGGGAGTGCAATTTGTTTTGATGTCGCAATCGCAATCCGGTTAAGTGACAACCGGGGATGGGTGTTGGTTCTTGTTCGGGGAGTTCGCATAATTACTCGAGTGTTTGGATAGCAGGAATAGCAGCCTTTTGGCCAGAGTTCCGTTCACATGACACCCATAACTCACTATTCACTGCTGGGCCGGCAATTGTGATCGATTGGTTTTAAAGTCTGGCCATAAACTAAAGCAAACAATAATCGCTGGCGTTGTAAAAGTTTATGAAAGTGCAGTTGCATCGCCAATCGATTTATTGCCGCGATTCGTAAGTGGGTGAGTTTTTTTTACCAGACACCGATAGGGATCGTCATGATTTCAGGGCCACTTTCCGCTCCTTTCCACTGTATATTTTTTTTCCAGCCGGGAATTACTTTTTAAGCCCTTTTTGCGTTCCGTGGATTTTTATTGCATTTGCGAAGATTTTGCCATTCTAATTGATTGTTTGCCATTCCGGCGGAATGGAGGCGAGGCGGCGTCGTAACTGCTTATCTATCCAGCGACTATCGATCTAGCTATCTATATAGATAGATAGATACATATCTGTTCCTGCTCCGATTCGAGTTATCTAACGCATAATATCCACTTGGATACACGGCCAATGGGACCGCAGCTCCTCCACCGGCCCATTTGTTTGCCGCCGCATTTATTTGTGCATTACAAACCGTAAGCACACTTAAGTTTCCCCTAAGCTCTGGCGCCGCTCCATTTTGCGAAAAGAAAAAAAAAAAACATTAAAGAAAAATGTTGGAAAATATGAAAAGAAAAGCTGCGTACACGCGCACTTGGATTCCCATAAATATTTGCAGGGAAAAAGAGCAGACAAATGGTGCCATTTGTTAATATCTGTTGATGGCCATTTTGTTAAAATCAAATTATTGCAAACACACAGAAAGAAGAAAATATTTTAATTTTTATTATTAAAATTTTAAATTAAAGCTTCAAATGTTGATACTCTTTTTGAATTATAATGACGTTATCCTAAAATCTACTTAAATAATATCACTACTCCTGGAAGCAATAAGCTCTGCATTTGTATTTACGAAGGAAAACGTTAAATAATTACTACAAGCCAATAAATAATGAAAAACAAATATATTATAAATTAGAAAATTGAAATAAACATTGTTATTATTATAAACTGAACACTGTTCATTTAAATACTAAAAGCAAACTCCCAAAAATACGAGACAAATAGTTTAGATTTAACCCTGCAAAATCAATTATTAACCAAAATATTCATAATGACAGGATGATGAAACTAATTGCTTTGGCAAAGGTTCCATTCAGTAAACATTAAATAAATGAAACTACACAACGAGAAACAAAAGCCAATGATTTCGAAAAAATATATATATTTTTTGAATGGTTTTTTTTTTTGCCCCTTATAATACATTTATATATTATTTTGCAAAAGCTATCATATGTTTTTAATACTTAACGCTTTTTAACCATGTACAAATCAGCAAAACATTAAAAATCCATTTTCATTTCTTTTTTGTTTATTCTGAGCTTAGCGTAATTAATTTAACAATAGAAGCCCGACATTAGTATTCGGTTTTGTGATTCAGTCCATTCAGTCCATCATATCCACGATGAGTTTAAATTTACTAAAAGCTATTGTTCTCCTTTGTTTGCTCCACGAAGTAAGATATTTTTGATTTTCCATTACATTAGCCCATTTCTCACTTGATGGCTATTTAATAAACATAGCATTTTGTTGTAAAAAATAAATTACTATAATTTTCACATAACCATTTATTCCAGAGCATTGGCAAATTGGAGTTTTCCAACCTGAAATGCATTTCTTGGGATCCCGAGTGGGTTGAATTCGAGTATTGCTATTTGAAAGCCTTCAATCGGAGTTTCAAGTACCTTTCGCTAAAAACAAAACTTTATAAATTACCCGTAAATGAACTTAAGGTTGTATTTAAATTGAACTGTCTAATTGTTTGTAATTAAATTGTTTTTATTTCAGGTGAACGTTGGTTTGGTGAAGCGATTCGGTGGTCTAAAGACAACGCTCTACAACCTTACTATTGATGGTTGTAAACTTGTAAATGGTGAAACGAAACCGAACCCAATAATAACATATATCTACGGTTTCTACAAGGTTTACTCCAATCTTAATCACTCATGTCCCTACGATGTGAGTTCGCTCAGAGAAGTCTTTTCAAGTGAAATCATCAAGTTCCTTACATCTTTTCAGCACGATATTATGATGGAGAAAATCCCTGCCACCGTTCTCGACACACAATTCGCGGAAATGCTTCCATTTGCTCGTGGCGAATACATCTTCCAAACCCATTGGATTCATCATAACAACAACAAGGCCACGGTGAACGTTTATCTTTCATATACATAAATGACTAATGAATAGAAAAAAGAAACATGTTTTAAACTTTGTTCTCAAAGTTGCATTGCATTTTTGAAACAAAATGAGCTCCAGCTCTATGCATTTAAAGTTGAGTCACAATTTCTGAAATTTTTGGTTATTTAATTAAATTCTTGAATTTTTCCAGCATATGAAGAATTAAAATAAAGAAATTAAATTTTTGAATTGTCCATTTTTAGTATTCATCGATTTTCTGAGGGTTAAGTTAAAAATATATCAAATTCAATAATACTTATTTACATTTCTATATTCAAACTTTTTCGACTAACCAAAATTTAAAACACTCATAACTTAGCCAAAAATGCATACATTTAAATGTGGAATGCTGTTCTATGCAAGTTTTTATTAGGTTATTAAATCTGCATACTCAATTTAAAATATAAGAAAACAGCAAAAAAAAATTCAAATTTTTGAAAATTTTAACGGTAACCTCTTATAAAATAAATTTTGAAAAATTACAAATTTGTTTTCTGCCGGAGATGGACTAGATAGAATCGGATTTCAATGCTGATCAAGGATACATATAATTTATAGGGTCGGAAATGACTCCTTTACTGTGGTATAAGCTTTTGATTAAAATTATAATACCCGGCATGTGTATAAATATTCAAAAATAAATACCAGTTGTAATTGGATAATTTTATAATTAGATCGTAAAATTGACAAACGCAAATTAAACCATTTAAATGGAACGTTTTTTTTTTTCAATAATTTTATTTTCAATTATAAATAGAAAATGCAACTCTCTTCTAAAATTGAGATGATGAGATGAGATAAGCTCAATATATCCTCCCAAATCTCTATTTCCAAACTATTTTCATCTTACACTTGGATATAATATAATATATAAATATTTAAAATATAAATATATATTTATATACTATATATATTTGTTAAAATAAAATATTTTTAATGTTAAGAACTATATTAGCAATTTGACAGGCCATAAAGCGAATCGAATGCTATAATCGTAATAATCGTATAATCGCTATTGTTCATTATAAACTAATTGCGTCTTTAAAGCCGTGCGTAGTTAAAATTGTAAAGTTCAATTTCAATCCGTAGTGTTGAACTAAGCGGTGTGGTTCATTGCAAAATATGCACAAAAAATTGCATATATATGAATTATAAATAATAATCTGCCTGTTCACAATGTGCTCTAAATATATTCTTCTGTGTGCTCTGATTCTCTATTCAGCAAAAGAAGTAAGAAAATGAATTGTAAAAAATCAGTTTTTCACACCATTTTTATAGGTAACTTCAAAGATGGAATTTACAAATATCAAGTGCACATCTTTGGACACGGAATTCGATGACTTTGAGTACTGTCTCCTCAAGTCTGTGAACCGAACTTACAAGTACATGTCGCTGAAAGTAAACTTGTACAAGACCCCCATTAACTTTGTCAAGGTAATAACTTTGAAAGCTAAAGCGATAAAAAGTGATAAGCTTAATTTTTTAAATATTTCAGGTAAATTTTGCATTGCTTAAGAGGTTCAATGGATACAAGCCTTTCCTTTATAACATCAGTGTAGATGCCTGTAAGGTTCTAAAGAATCCTAAGTCAAACCCAATATTCGGATACTTTCATAGTCTATTCAGGAGCTACTCCAATATGAATCACACGTGTCCCTTCAATGTAAGTGGAAATTCGAATTATTCAATAATACCTTTTGTAAATTGTCATTTCCTGTGCAGGAGGATCTTATAGTGGATAAGCTCTCTGTAGATTTCATCAACCATAAATTTACACAGGTTTTAGCTTTTCCACCTGGTGACTACCTTTTTCACTCCAAATGGATAGCAAATAATAAAAATCGTGCTGAGGTGAACGTCTATGCAACTCTTTCATAAAAGACTTCAAAGATCTATTGGTTTGTTAAAGATATTTATAATAATATAAATAAATATAAAAGCATATTTCCTTGATTGCTCAATCAACATATTCGTTGGTAAGATAAACAAACTTATACAGATTATAAATAAAAAACGAAACCTCTTTACAAATATAGTTTTTATGATTTCCGCTATTCAACCGAAACAAGCTTAATACAGTAAAAATTTTCCACTCATTAAACTTTATTATTCTACAATTAAGAAGACCTTTTGGTCACAAAATAATTTATTGTAATTACAATAATTACATAATATTTTGTTATTATTGAAGCTTATTTGTTAACACAGCATTAGTGTTTAAAATGTTTGCCTCTTTTGTACCATTTAAGTATTTAAGTTTACTATGTAGTTAAAATTATCTAAGATTAACTTTACAATATTGAAGCTATTCAGTGGCTGGAGATCCTCCAGACTCAATATACTACAAAAATAATTGAATTCAAAGCTCTTTTTAATGAGAAGATAATTATTCATATCTTAGCAATTAAATAAATATAAACACAGAACCATCTTTAGCAACAAAGAGCTATAAATGTAGCTAACATAATAGGGATAAATAATATATTCTTATAATTTTCACATATTATGGTTAACTTTATGTTCAAAAACAAAATGTGTATTTAATTTATTTAATAAAATAATTTACTTCTTTCAGACCTTTTAAGCTCTTCAAACTTATAATAACCGTAGTGTTAAGATCACGACATTTAACATTATATATATAAATATATATATTGTGTAATCAAGAGTGCTTGTATTTATTCTAATTTATTTTTAATGACAAAACTCATTTGTTTGTAATAACAATTCCTTTAGCTAAAAAGGGATTAACAAGTTAGAACTTCAATCAGTTTCATTGAAATTTTCAGCATGTCAATAAGGTGTCTTCGTCTCGTTGAACTTGTTGTTCTCTTATATTTAATAAGACAAGTATGAATAATCTTAAGATAAGCCATACAACTTGAGATATTTAGAAGAAATAATTTTCAGATTGCAACTAAAGTAGAGTTCACAAATATCAAATGCACTTCTCTGGACCCTAAATTCTTGGAATTTCAATATTGTTATCTAAAATCGATTAATCGAAGCTACAAGTACATTTCCCTAAAGACAAAACTTGCTAATTTTCCAGTTCCAAAGCCAAGGGTTAGTATGTTACTCCAGCCAGTGAAGTATTTCATAATTGTTCCAAAATCGTTTCAGGTAAATATTGAATTGATGAAGCGATTCAGTGGCTACAAACCGTTCCTATACAACGTCACTGTGGACGCCTGTTCATTCTTGAAGAATCCCAAATCAAATCCAATTGCATTGTATCTTCATGGGTTTTTTAAGAATCACTCCAATATGAACCACACTTGTCCCTATGATGTAAGCATGAAGTCATTAGTGGTCTTAACCCGCAAGATTTATTTAATTTATTTGCAGCACGACATAGACATAGATCGACTATCTATCAGCTCTTTGAACCGTCATCTAACCGAAGTGTTGCCTTTCCCCATAGGAGATTACCTCTTTCAATCGAACTGGATAGCCGATGGAATAAATCGTGCTAATGTGAACATGTATTTTACGCTTTCTTGAGAGGTGTAAAAAATGCTCTAAATATCCCTTTGTGTTGGGTGTATTCTGCACTCTATAGGAATTTCAGTAAGTTCCAGCTTAGAATAAAGATGCTTCCAGCTTAACGGATATTAAAATACATTAGTACCTCATGTGTTTCGAACTAAATCTCTTAATATGTTTTAAATAGGCCAAACATCCTGTAATTTTTGATAACTTAATTCATGTTAGTAAAGCGTGACTAATTAGAAACCAAAAGCTAAATTGATCGAATCATCGAATAGGTTTTTAGTATGTAGTGTGACTTCATAGCATCACTACTTCTTTTGGCCATGTACATCAAATATATAATTCTGTATCAAATCCTGATGATACTGCTGTTCTTTACAGAAGTAAGAAAAATAAGCTCATTAACATAATTTCATAAAGAATAAATTTAATTAATTTAAAGATCACTCCACTGGTTGAGTTTACGAATATCAAGTGCACCTCCTTCGATAAAAAGTATAATGACTTTGAGTACTGCCGTCTGAAGTCAGTCAACCGTAGCTTTAAATATATGTCGCTAAAAGTTAACCTTTACAAGGTTCCCATTACAAAAGTAAAGGTTTGTTTTAACTTTAAGATGAGATTATTTTGTGACTTTAATTTCTATTTCGTGTATCCAGGTGAATTTTGCTATGCTTAAACGATACAGCGGATACAAACCTTTTCTGTACAATATCACCGTGGATGCCTGTAAAATCCTGAAGCATCCAAAGTCCAATCCTATTTTCGGCTTCTTTCATGGACTTTTTAAGAAACACTCTAACATGAATCATACATGTCCCTATGATGTAATGTGGAATTAATTATATTATTATTATTATTATTATCATTTTCTATACTTTCAGCACGATCTTGTGGTGGATAAACTTCCAACTAGTTTTATTAATCAGCAAGTAACTGGCGCTTTGTCCTTTCCCCACGGAGATTATCTTTTCCACTCGGATTGGTTCGCTTATGGAGTTCACCGGGCGACTGTAGACTTTTTCTATACTCTTTCATAAAGTGTTTTACTTAATTAAAGTCTAAGCTAATATACATTAATATACAGAAAAATGTTTTATATCAAATTATATACATACATATATTTAGGTTTGTGCTTAGCCTATTAAGTATTGCATCGGTTATAAAGTTTAACATAAACTAATCTCTACTTTAACTCTATTTATTTACACTGCACTTTGGATCGGATCGAATGAGAGAGTCCCATTCTCTGGAGAGCAGCCTCAATCGCGGGGCGTGATCTTCACACGCAGGCCGTCCTTGGGCCGCAGGATAAGCTCGCCGAGCAGGGTGAGGTCCTCCCGGCGATCCACCGCCTCAATTTTGTATTTACGCAGCACCGTCGAGATCACGGCCTTCTCCTCCAGAATTGCGAACTTCTGTCCGATGCAGTTCCGAGGACCGGCACTGAAGGGGATGTAGGCGAAGGGGTGGCGTCCGGCACAGTTCTCGGGCAGGAAGTTGTCCGGATTGAATTGCTCCGGCTTGGGAAATACACGTGGGTTGCGGTGCAGGGCGTAGGTCATGATGATTGCCTGAGTGCCAGCGGGAACCACTTTTCCACCTGTATATAAAATATTATTATAACTTGTTTATCTTATTATCTTATTTAGTCTCAAAACTCACCGATATTCACATCCTCGCCCACCATTCTGGCCATCATGGGAACACTCGGGAACAGGCGCAGCGAGTCCTTGATGCAGCACTCCAGGTAACGCATATCCAACAGGTTCTTCATTGTGGCTGGCGTCTCCTTATCATCCCCAAAGATTGAGTCCAGTTCCTCTACAACTTGCTCCTGATACTCGGGATGGCAACCCAGCAAAAATAGAGTCCAGGAAATGGCCGCCGAGGTGGTGTCATGGCCCTCAAACATGAATGTGTCTACCTCCTCACGAATATCCTCCTGTAAATGAAGGAAATTTAAATATATTTTTTGAAAACTAAATATATATAGTAAGTCTTACGTTTGACAAAACGGTTCCCTCCTTGGAGGCATCGATCAGGAGATCGAGGAAAGCCAGACGCTTCTTCTTTCCCACATCGTCGTAGGCATCGGCGGATTGATTATTGTTGTTATTATTATTGTTCTCCTGGAGAATGGCCAGCTCAGCCTTACGTTCCCGGATCACCATGTTGGAGAATCCATGTAGAGTATTAATAAAGCTTTGATGCAACTTGTAATCCGCAGTCATCCGGAAAATGAGGTCGCTCTGCAGCCAGATCTTGGACTGACGACTCTGAACAATGGATCCAATACTGCAACGGAAGTGTTTGTTTAACTTACGATGTATTTATTGACAATTAAACTAAAATTATGTTTTAAATATGAAGCAAGAACTGACGCTCTTGAGTGAACAATTTTCATATATTTGCTACACATATTATTTGTATTTCTCAAACATATTTGCTGGCTCTTCGATGATGGGGAGAAAATGGGAAAGTGTTGCGTTAAATTGAAAGTTAGTCAAGTGTTCAATGGAAGAGTTCCATGAGGCATGGCTGGAGTGGAAGTGGAAATGGAAGTAGAAATGGGTGTGGTAGTGGGAGGCTGTCTGTTATCAGCTTCGGAGCACTTCAAGCATCCCATTGACATCTTAATCTCGCATATTTTGCGCTCGGATGCACTCTACATCCGCCACCTCCAATGGGTGTTGGGTTGGACGAGTTTCAGTATACCGGGAGGTGGTGAAAGGACATGTGTAGCTGTATCTAAAGGGTGTCTCTTTCCCTGACAGCTGTCCTGACAGCTCTCACGATATTAAACTGCTGCCACAGCGCTGATAACTCTTCCAAGCCATTGATGTTATTATTCCCAACGGTGGCCGGGCTTTATGATATAATTTATTAATGTGGACAGATAGGAAGCGATATCTATTATTAATCAAAATATTAAGAAACATGAAAATGAAGTAATGAATATTAGAACTAACTAGTTTAAGGGATTTCCTATTATAATTATTCGATATTTATCTCGTAATTTCTTTATTCATAAAGTTACCCCCTTTAGCTAGGCCATGAAGAAGGCTTTATAGCGTACGACATTTCATTGCATACTTTGAGGCATAACTGAAATAAGCTGCTATAAATTTAAGATATATACAAAATATACAAGATACAAGATTTTATATAATGTTATGTAAAGCATATAGTGCCTACGGATATTAATTAAAATGATTAGATTGTAAAAATCCCACCACAATGTTTAGCCCAAAATTCATTTAAGATTTAATTAAAACGAATATTAATATATTAATAGTTTCGTTATTCAATTATCCATTTAATTTTGTTCAAAATATCTAACAATTATGTCTCATTTCAATCAATTGCAATATTAAATAAAATTAATCCATTAGCCTGTCACGAAACCTATTTTGATTTTTCCAATGCAATAGTCAAATAATTGAAACTATGAACCAACAAATCTAACACACATATCAATAATCTATATAAGATACAAAGGAAATGACTTCAAATGGCTAATAACAATTTTTGGCAATTTCAATCGCAAAACTATATTTCTTCAGGTGTTTTCTTTTGGTTCCATATTATGACTATAATTTAAGCCAATATATCCGCAAATTGTTTATACTTTGCGGCAGTCTACAAAAAGAAGAAAAGCCCAGTGCTCCAAATAATTATAAGCTATTTTTGAATAATTTGTTTGGGAAAAGCAACAGCAACAGAGTGAAATTCTCTCTTATGAACTCTCTTATGAAAACTAACTAGTTTTATACATGCAAAATGACATCTAGCCATTTTTAAAACTTACCCATAGACCGCCTTCACATATTCCGATTCGCTGTTGCTCTGGGCATAAATTCTGCGACCCATGGCAGTTTCTGTTCATATAAATGACGTAGGCAATTTGTAAAAAATACTACTAGAAAATTGAAGTGCATCCGCGACATTGACACTCACCACAGACAATGTCCAGGGTGCAGAGCGTGACGTAGGGGAACAGGTTGAACGCCTCGCTGCCAACCTCGATCGCGAGTTTTCTGGCCAAGACGGCGCTCTGCTCGTTGAACACATCGATGAAGTCGTCCAAAATCTTGAAGTGGAAGGCGGGTGTGAGGATCTGTTGATGGAATTTTAAAAATTATCAAAACAAAAGGAAGATTAGTCAAGAAGTAGTAGTAGTGGACTCCTAAAACAAAAGTTTTTAAACCCTTGGAAGATATCATAATTTTGGTCAGAAGCTTGTAGCGCTGTGAAGGAATCATTTCCGACCCTATAAACCCTATAAATATATATTCTTGATCAGCATCAAAAGCTAAATTGATTAAGCTATGTCCGTCAAAAATTTATTTTTTTTTTTTCAAAATTTTGAAAATTAACCGTAACCGTTAAAATTGTAAAAAATTTATCAAAATCATATTATTTTTAAATTTAAAATCGAGCACGCAGATTTATTAAACTACTAAAAAATAACATAAGAGTGATTTCCGAATTAAAATTAATGCTCTTTTGGCTTAGTTGTGACATTTTTAAATTTGATTTGTGGAATATATTTTCATATAAAAATATAAATAAATATTGGGTTTAAAAATGGTATTAAAATTATAGTCAGAAACGTATAAGAATGTGAAGGAATCATTTCCAACCCTATAAATCATGCATATTCTTTATCAGCGTCAAAAGCCGAGTCGATCTAACTATCTCAACCAAAAGTATATTTTTTCAAAATTTTAAATTTTTTTAAAGATGTTACATCGTTAAAATTTAAAAAAATTGGAAAATTGTTTAAAAAAATTAAATTTTTAATTGAGTATGCAGATTTATTAACCTAATAAAACCCAGCATAGGACAACTTTCCGAATTTAAATTGATACCTTTTTGGCTTAGTTGCAACATTTTTATTTAATATTTTTATGTTTTTTTTGGTTGTGGTTAATCATACCTTTCTGCGGGAATGCCACTTGCGATCGGTGCTGGTCAGGAGTCCTTCGCCCAGCCAGGGATGCAGATAGTCGTAGTCATGGCTCTTGTTTACAAACTTCTGGCTATTCAGTATGGGCTGAAGCAGACACAGAAATAGTTATTAATTTATTAAGAATATTTTTCACTTAGATCAAAACTCACCTCCACCGTCTCGGGCTCGAAGAGGAGAACTCGCGGTGCGGTTCCCTGCCAAACACGATTGATTCCAATTCGCGTGCCCCACAATTTCTGCATGCCAATGACGCGATTGAAGAGCTCTGCGAAAATAATAGGAGTTGATCAAAACCAGTTTGATTTGTTAACTTGAACTCTTTTGGGTGGGAGAATGATTTACGTCATCAATTATCTAGTGAATTTTTTTTATTGTGTATTATATATTCAAAATTAAACGCATATATGGACTTCTGGTATTGTGGATTCAATTAAAATTGGTATTCTTATGTCAAAAAATGTAAATTATTAATAAATGGAACATAAAATACATTTAAATAAATGTTTTTAATTGACTTAAATAGACTTTATAAAGGTAATTTTATATTCAACTTTAAAACATTTCTTGAGAAATTAATAGATTTCTCTTTCTCTACAATGACGTCTTAAGTAATTAATTAATTTGTTGGCACTACTCCTCCTTTTTGTTCACCCCATCAAGGTCGCTATAATTGCTTTCTTTATGACCCAGTTAATAAGCCGGGGCTTTTCTCACCTCGAAAAGACCAAGCAAAGCCCACCTGACCGGAGGCACGTTACTCATGGCTACAACCAGGTAAACATCTCACGGGTGTCCGAGTTTATGTGTCGCAGCCCGTATGTGTTGCATTAATTAAAAAGAAAAAAGATGAAACACAACCATGCGTGGCCATTCAGCGATCTCTAATAATGATTTTATGTAACCCCGCCGCCCGAAAACCAAACTGGCTGCTGATGACGCCGCCTCAAATTTCGCGACTATTTCTCAGCACCTCAGTTGCCCTGCCGCTCAGGTGGGGCAGGTGAGTGGGAATCTTGGACTCTTTCGGACTCGGACTCGGACTTGGACCGCTCTTCGTCGGAAGTT